TAACGAGAGAGAGAGAGAGAGAGAGAGAGGGAGAGAGAGAGAAAGAGAGAGGAGGAGGGGGGAAGAGGTTTATTACTGGATGTGAATGAAACCCATATTTCCTATGTCATAATATTTTTTGAGTCCAACTCACATGCTTGGTTTTTCTTAATCTTTTACAGTTTGAAGGCGGATTCCGCGAAGTCTAGAGAAGTCCAAGCCAGGTCCAAGTTTCCAAAACAAGAGTACTTACAGGTCTTTTCTACTAGATTTGCAGGGGGTTAATAAACAATGACCATCCAGATCTAGAGAGAGAAAGTTGACCCGTGTGAATAAATCAAACCCATGTAATAAATAAATCAAACCCATGTAATAAAAACTTACCCCATAAGAAAATCTCGAGCTTACCCCATATGAAAATCTCGAGACCTCTGTAACATAACAGTGCCGGCAAATATGCAACAAAGTTTACACCACCCAAATAGTCTATGGTATATACAAAGATATCAAACAGAGCAAGTACAGAACAAAACCCAGGTAAATTGGAGACAATTTGATAGCAAGATATATAAAATAAGAGTGACAGGTAAGTGAAGACAAAGAAACTGGCATTGAATTTAATTGAGTTTGGTAAAAAAAACTTACTTCATTTTGGCTGAAACAGGAAGTTGTCCCCATGGAATCTGATGCCCCCAAAATCACAATCTCTTTAGAGGAAGCCTCCATTGTTGAGGGCCCAAGCTCTGAGCATGGGTAATTGGGGCTTTTCAAGCTTTGCAGTGAAAGCAATTCTTTATCTTGGATTTCATCTCCATCTCCTGAATAGTCTGAACTCTGACTAGAACACAGTAAATTCGAAGAAGGACATGACCATGTACTACTAGATGAAGAGGACGAGTCGGAGGCTTCCTTCTCAGAAGCCTCGGATTCTTCTGCGCAATCACAACAGTCCAAAACAGGGAACCTCTCGTCACCGAACGATCTCCACCGCACAATGTCTCGAACCCTAAGGGTAGTCTCGCATTCCTCGTCGTGCTTCTCTGAGCTGCGAGACCTTCGAGAGAAGTTTCTCATAGCAGCAGTGAACCTTGTTGAAAGGCTTTTACCATGTTCTTGATTTAACTTGATATTGGGTTTTCTCTCTCTTACTCTTCTGAGAATTGTTCTCAAAAGCCTGATTCTTGACTGCTTTTGCCCTGAGAATTCTTCAGCTTTTAATGGCTCTTTTGGGGCAAATTGGAAGAGCTTGACTGCCCCAAAAACTGCTTCTGATGCTTTTTGTAAAGACGAAATCGTGGTCGAAGAAGCCAGGGATCTACTTCTTAAAAGGTTCATGTGTTTGGCTTCTTTGGATTCCATTTGAAGATGGCGTTTCATGGTGGTGGTTAATGGTGGATTGGACTCTTTGAAGATGGGGCGTTTATGGATTGAGTAACAATGAACAGAGGAATAATCATGGATTGAAATTTCAGACTTATTGAAACTATCAGAACAAAGAACAGAGGAAGTATCATTGAGAAAATCCTTAAGCATCATAGGCCTCTGTTTTTCCATAACCACTTCCTGCTTAGCCACCATGGATTTCTCCTCTGAGTTAGCTTTCAGGGATGGAATTGGAGCCATTGTCATTCAAGAGAGGATATTTCTTTGAAAAGCTCCAAAGGTACAGAGACATGCAAAGATAAGAAAACTCTCTTCTCTCTAAGAAGGAAAATGCAGCATATACAAGTAACTGAAGTCACAGAGAGAGAGAGAGAGATGATAATCTCAATATATTGAAGACAGCTATGGCAAAAAGAACTTAGGTTTGTAGAGAGAGAAAGTGCTCGATGGAAATATGGAAGCAGGAGAAAAGAGGAAAGCAAGAGGAGAAAGAGACTATGCTTGAGATAACAATAAAATGGAAAACCAAATATGCGAGAACAGAGAGGACTAAAGAAAAGAGAGAACAGTGAGGATAACACTTCACAGGAGCGTCATTACCAAGGCGAAGAACAAATTACAGCAGAAGAGAGACAATACATTTGAGATATCAGTAATGATTAAGAAAGAGCTAAAAACGCATGAAACAGAGACCTTCGTCCTCAAAATAGAGGCAATAAAAAGCTAAAATGAACTCCAAAACAGGCTTGAAAGATCGACGACAGGGGATGAGATCACGACAGGGGATGAGATCATACTTGAGCTCACAAAACAAGTTCAGAGCATGGAAAGATAGAATATAGAACAATAGATGAAACCGGAAAAAATAGAACCAGAAAAAAGCTGAGTAAATCACAATTTACAGATAAATAGCTTCCCCTTGAAGGATATTTCACTGGTTTTAAACAATTAAGAGAAGCAAATTGCTAAGCAAGATGCTAGTGAAAGTTCAGAGAAAATTAAGCCTCGAAGAACAAGAACAATAGCTCGAATTTAAGAGAAAACAACGATTCAAATGGATTTTGACGGATTCATAGCCCAGAGCAACAGAAACGAAGTAAATAAGTTGCAGAGACAGACATTCAAAAAAAACAAAAAACTTGCAGAGACAGAGATGTGACCTTATAAGGCTCATATACCCATTCTTCTCAGCCTTTTACATGGCATTTAAGAGAAAATGACCTGCATAGAGGTCAAAAGGCCAGGAATTTGTCGCATTTAAAGGGGTTTCAGAGTAAAACTTGGCTCCAAACTCGGGGAAATCAATGAGAAAAGTTGCAGAGAAACACAACGGGGGTGCCAAAATAGGGCAAGAACAAATGAGATTGTTGGGTCATGAGTTAAAACTCCTCCAAATCAGAGCTTTATAAGCTCATAATTTGCTGTAAAAACGGAGGGAGAAGCAAACAGGAGGCTTCTCAGGCGAAGATCTCCAGACAGACAGACAAGAGAGAGACAGAGCAACAGAGAGAAACGACCTAAAACTTAAAGAAGGGGAAGAGAGAGAAAATTAGAGAAGTTAGAGAGAGAAGAGAGATACTGTGAGAGAGAAACGAGACAAACCTTTGAAGGGGACAAAGAGAGAGAAAGGAAGAGAGTGAATTTAGAGAGAGAAAGGAAGTTTAGAGAGAGAGTGACAAGTTTCTGAGCAGTTGCAGACGCATGGATGCTTCTCTTTTAGGGGTTTTAAAAAGGTCGAAAAAAAAAAAGTTGAAAAATCCATAAAAAAATTGAGAGTGAAAATGGCTAAAATACCCCCCCTTTTCCTAATTAGACGTAAACACCCCCAAAAGTTTCCAAAATTCCTCTAACACACCCATCATTTTTTTCAATGAAGTACGAAAGTTGAGAATAACTAATTTTCGGGAAAACGACACACGAATCCGAAAATTAAATTTCTTATGTCATGGTTAAATCCAGTGTTTCAAAACCTAGGTCGGTCCACCTTACCTATCCATGTTGGATCATAAGATCATTGATTTAAATCGATGATCCAGAAAAATACAAAAAAAAATAAAAATTAAACTAGGAGTTTTTTGTATTTTGAGACGGGGGACAGGGAGTTTGGATTTGGGTTTGGGTTTGGTTTTGGGCGTACATATATGAGTTCTAACTCTGAGAGGGACTCAGACAAGGAGGGTGTCTACAGTGGTCGCTGGCTCGGGCAATTCTGAATCAAACCAGTGATTTTTTTAACACAGCATAATCCAATAGTATTTGGTATACAATGATGTATTATTGAGAAATCCATCTTTTCTTATTTGAAAGTGATGATATTTCCCTCCATATAATTATTACAAGATCATTTATTATTTGTACAAAAAGGCCATACAAGCCACTAGCTGTCAAAAATTAAGCTAAGTGGTCAAGGGTGTGACATTGATTGTGCTCAAAATCAAAAAATTTCATTTTTTCAATTTTATGTAGGGAACTCAGTCGGAAAAACGTTTTCTCGATCTTTATACTTACCTTGCTCTTCAAACTTTATATTCGATGATTAGAGGTGAAATGACTTTTCAATACTGTGGGTAAATAGCCTAACAATTCATTAGTTTAATTGTTTCATGCTTATCAACAAAGTACGTAAACGAATTTAGGTGTTACTATCATTTTTTGTGCATAATGGATGTTGTTTTTGTGAAGAGTGAAAAATCATTGATATATGATATGATCTTCCTAGTTTTTATAAATTACTTACTTCTTTTTTTTTTCTTCCATGTTGGGGTACCTTGTATTTATGAAATAATATTTCTCTACACCAAATAGGTGCAATAGTGTATATTAACTAATGTACTTATAAATAAATTTGCAATCATTAATACTTTGGGGCATTGTTAAAAAGGAAGATTGTCCCTTTCAATCACGAAGTACAAAATTCTCGATTTCGAAACATAAATTTCCTATCCCACAAGCACGAAACAATCTCAAAGGCAACCATGATTGTGGAGATCGTGGTGGTAGCACACCTCATACCTCACCTGTATGTTGTGATTTTCATTTCTACTGACAGCTTCAAAAACTATTAACTAATTCAAAATGGGTAGGGGCTAGTCTTCCAAAATAAATTATCAACAAAACAAAAAAAAATAATATCAAAGGCAACCATGGTCATTGCAGCATGAAAAAGCTCTTCTTTCCCATTATGGAACCATTTGAGCTCAGAATTGGGTACCCAAGCTGAGATGTGTGTCCCATCAATTGCCCCAACACAATCCCAACACGGCAATGCCTAGGGAGAGACAATCGACAAGGCCATCACCAACCCTAATACCGGAGATGTGGCACCTCGAAACATATATTGAACTTCGGGTTGTTTGAAAGTTACATGGAACATGAGGCAAAAAGGAAAAGTGACAGAGGACGCCATAGCAACCTGCCTACCCCCTCAATGAACCCTTAAAGATACTTCTTTGGCAAGCAGATCAGCAACACTATTCCTCTCCTTATTAACATACTGAAATTGAACCTCCCTCGTTTAAGTAGAACACCTCATCACACATGGTCCATCGTCAACATTATGTTGTTTATTGCTTAGATGAAGAATGCAAAGCGAAAGGGCAATAGGTAGCCCGAAAAAGACATAGTTGAAAGTAAATATATAGAGATTTATAGCGTCATTGAGGATATGCTCTTAATAGCGTCTAATGACGTATCAAGATTTATGTAACCAATTCCAATTAATTAGAAAAATACTTTGACGATGACAATAATGACAGGACTCCATTGACACAACCATTCAATTTCGATTAGAAATAGAATGAGCTGATTAACAATCTAAAAGATTGGAGCCAAATCGTCTAACTATTTGATCAGGTCATAATTGATATGTAAAATTGCTTTAAGCTAAATTTTAATTATTTGTTGTTAAGCACGAGTAACCAATTAATGAAAGTTGTCAGCTACTTGCATGATTCATGAACCACGGTTCGTTCTCCCCAATTTGGGCACAATTTAGCATTAAGGGCTTCCTCATTTTGGAATATACAAGGGTATTTTCGTCATTAAGAATATAAGGATAATTTCGTTATTTTTAAAAATTTACAAGGGTACTTTGGTTACGAGATTACATAAAAAGCGAACGGTGGATGTGAGAGATCCGATTTTGGGTCGGACGGGGACGTCATGTCGGGATGCGTCCGTTGACTCACTGAAAATCCACCGCCAAAACTTAGAGAGAGAAAGAAAAATTTAGAGAGCGAAAAAAACATAGAGGAAAATGTAGAGGTGATAAGTGAAGCATGAAATATACACAGTGAAATTGAAATGTAAAATTCTTTATCATGAAAATCTCAAAAAATATAGGGAGAGAAAATTACAGTAAAAAGCTCTAAAAATTTAGAGATAGAAAATATGAAGCATGGATAGTGAAATTGAAATGAATATTATTTACAAGGAAAAGCTCACAAAAATTTAAAGAGAGATAAAAATCTAAAAAGAAAAACTCGAGAGATGGATACGAGAAAAAAATGGATTTCAAGTTTTAGAAATAGTGTATTTTGTACCGTACTTTTAAGCCGTTAATTTTTTAAGATTTTAATAGATATGTCGATCTACACTATTTTTTAAGCTTTCAACTTTATAAATAAATATGATAATATATTTTAAGATTATCATAAAGATTTTCAATATTGAAACTATATTTCTCAACACTATTTGAAGGTAGGCTTTAGAGCTTAGGCTCTTTACATATGGCACCCTTATTTTTGTTTTCTATCATTTTAGAAAAGATGCAAAATTATTTTAACTCTAAATAATTTTTTTATATTTTTAAAAATATTTCAAAACCCCCAAGTCACAAACTCATTTTGAAATTTATTTTTTGTTACTTGTTTAACCACAGTTAATTTGTGTATTGTTAAATTTTACTTTGAATATATTTTTTTTATTTTTAAAACTTTTTTGTACTTTTCTATTTTTTATAGTTTTCACATGCCACAAAAACTCGGTGTGGGGAGTTAGTGAGACTCGCGCTGGGCATGGGCCTAGGTTTGGGCCCGAGTATACTTTTTGAACATCGTATAGAGAGAGAAACCTTGGAGAGAGAAATGCAGCCATGAAATACACAGTGAAGTAGACAATAAGAGAGTGACTTAGAAGAGCGAGAGAGAGAAGAGAGAAGGTGAACTTTTAGAGAGAGAAGGTGAACTTTTAGAGAGAGAAGGTGAGGTTACATAGTGAACAAATCCAAGAGAGAGGAGAGACAAATAGAGAGGAGTGATAAAATCAAGAGGTGACAGTTTGAGAGAGAAACAGAGAGAGGAGTGAGAATCACGCGTAGAGAGAGAAACATAGAGAAGATCGATCGGACGAGAGATGACAAGTGGAGAGAGAAACAAAAACAAAGAGAGATGTGACTCGATGTCCGATACAAATAGGAGAGAGAAATTGAGGAGAGGAAGGAAGGTAGAGAGAGAAACATAGAGGAGAGAGAGTATCGAAGGCAGAGAGAAGCATAGAGAAGAGAGAGAATCACGAGTAGAGTCAGAACGAGGAGAGAGAATCACGAGTAGAGTCAGAAAGAGGAGAGAGAAAGTAAGAAAAGGAAAATTATTTGAAATTTGAGTAGCGCATGCGTAGTCTCGGGTTTCGGTGTACGTACAAATTTTCTTTTCCCTTTTAACCGCGAGTCAGTGAAATTCAAAGATTTACTCGAAAATTTTAAATCCCACTTTTTTTCGAAAAATTTTAGGTTTTGTCGTCTAGCTCCGCCATCAATGCGAGATACACGTGTCCAAATACGGAGCATGTGTCGCCACGTGTCGGTGGCGGCTGGCCACTCTGAGGGGGCCCACGGCCCGAATCGTGGATGAGATACGGTGTCCCCCGAGGTTAAATTCGTGTGGGACGCCGAAAAAGGAACCGTTTGAGGGGCAGTTTCGTCATTTTTAGAGACCGGTATATACGGCCCCTTGAAGGCCTGTAATTTTTTTCAGATGCGGGTATAAAGTGCTCCCGCGGGAGCACTTTATACACCAGCTTCCAAAGAGTTATGAAGGACATGCCTTTTTAGGGCGTTTCAAAACACCGATGGGGTGAATCCTCCACACACGGATTTTTGTTGGACCACAAGATTGCCAATCCGGATCAATTTGAATCTGAAAAAATATTTAAAATAAAAAATAAAAAATAAACAATAAAATAAGGGTTTATAGGGCGAAGATTTAAGGGCTTAAAAAAATGTTAGATATGTTCAAGAAAAAGGAAAAAAAAATATATGAAAGAGGGGCTTTAGGGGGGGAACTAGACCGGTACTACTACATTCTTAAACTAGTTCGATCCCGATTGATTCTCAGTATAGATCTGTGATCCCCGATTTAGAAAAGTGGGTTTTAAAATACTAGACGTTTAGAAAAACTTATGCTCATGTCCTCAAATACCATTATTATAAAAATCGGAATTTTAACTTTCACTTTCTTACGCCCTTCTTTCTTCTTTTATATCATTTCATAATGCCCACAGTTTGGATGTCCAAGCCCTTAAATGAGATGATAGTTTTGAATCATTGATAAAAACTAATAAAGCAGTGACTACATATTTTTAAAATTCGCAATCCCAAGTCATTTGGACAAATCTTGATTTCAGATCATGATGGTCTGTAGTCATACGCAAAAAGTTGACTTTAGATCATGATGGTCCGAAATCAATT